GTAAGGGTTTTTTGGTTTGGACAATTTTTTTAAACATGGTGAATAGATTTTTTTTTAATTTTGGCTGGGGACGTTTATTAATTTATCACTATAGTATTGGACTTTATTGGAAGAGATTGTATGAAGTTGGATTTATTTAAGTAAATCGCTCGATTTTTAGTTTTTTACCTAATTGACAAATTTCAGTAAAATAAGTGATATATGAATGACTTTTAGTGTGTCAAAAATGGGCAAAATTTCAAAAAGTTTAGTTCACGGTATTTCTAGAAAATAAGGGATTTCGATAAAATTGCATTTTAGTAATATATTTTTAACTTTTTTATAAATTCAACTAAATATGCCCAATACTGTTCCAATAGTTGATAAATGTATGATGAGTCAGCAGACAAAAATTCAAAAACGTTTCTTTACAAAATGTGCTTTTGGAGCCGTTTTCCTTAAATTTAAGGAAAGCTGTACACTCAATTTTAAGATACACTGTATGGTACAGGGAATTTCAACTCGAAATATTCCCCCGATCGGAACGGGAATCCAAACTTTTGCCTATGGCTTGGTTCAATAATTACGTTAACATTTAGGAGGAAGTGGTGTTTGATATTTGCGTACGCTTTCTTGCGTCTTGCGTAAGCATGAACGGATCAAATGCAGATCATATACATTTTTTATAAAGATATTGTAAATTGGGATGAATATTTAGTTTTTATATACCTATAATTGAAAATCACGAAAATGGCCTGGATATAACATCAGAAAACTAAGCAGCTATAAAATAATAATATATTGGTCTAGAATAAACAAAATGGTTTTAAATTAACCAACAATGGTTTTGAAACCACCGAAAAGATCTAGAACTTACAAAATGGCTTTAATAATGTTTTTAATGAACATTATGTAAGATATTAAGTGATAAAACAGTCGAGCACATTCACACCAACTGACGAATCGATTTGACTTTACCCTCTCTGAATTCCATGAAACTTCACAAACTTGGGTTTCAGGCCATTTGGTCGAATGCTGTTTGACCGAACGCCATTTTACCGAATGCCGTGTAGCCAAATACTTGAAAAGATATTTCAAATTTTAAATGCTACCGACGCCAGGGAGGCAGCTCCCACACCTGGACCCTACCTATCGACCCATCAACTCATGCATTGGAGACAAACGGCTTTGCTTCCCTGAGATCGATAGGCGTGATGTGAGATTTTATGACTTAGAACATCCCGGTGGCGCCGACTGGGATTGAACTCAGGCCTGCTGGGGTGAGAGGTAATCAAGCTTACCACTACACCACTGATGCTGCTAACATTATTTGTTTTATAAAATTTAAATTTAAATTTAAAATTTAAAGTTTTAATGTTCTTATTATTTTTGCACAGTAAATGTTCTAAAATTTCATTAAAAAAATATTATGAAAAGTTTAAGAGATTTTACCTTTTTTCGAATAAAAGCAGTTCTTTGAAGTTTTGTTGTTCGTAATTCGGCCAAACGACCCATTCGGTCAAATGGCATTCGGTCAAATGGCATTCGGTCAAATGGCATTCGGCCAAATGACCTGGAATCATTTTTCGCTAGAGGCAATGAACCAAGTTTGTACTGAAAATATGCCATTCTCATCATTGCCTGATTTTTCAAAATGGCGTGTTTGATATTTTTCAATAAAGCATCGCATGACAATGCCTAAACTAATCGAAATGACGTCTGAGAACAAATTGTAGGAAACTGGATTGCCTTTTGAAAACAAAAATGCAATAAAAAAAAATCACAAAATTTTGTCAAAAAACTTCAATAGAACAAGAACGTTTTTCAAGATTTTTATACTTATGTTTATAAAAAATGACACACAATGGACTCTTTAATATTGACAAATTTTTGAACTTATTTTTAAAGAGTCAAAATTAGCTCATTCCAGCACAACCTTGTTTTAATAACCATCCCAAATTCTTAAACACAAACAATATTAAAAACTTCAAAATAGCCAATCAATCGCCATAATGCGTTAACATTCCGAATTAGTTTTGAAACACCAAAATGCTTAAGGATCGTTATATAAAGAAAGATTCAGTTTGTTTTTTCTCTGTTCGGGACATAACACTACTGCGACCAGTAATTGATCTATTGTACTATATCCCGTGTCCTTAGTTTAGTGCATGTCGTATTACTCCATCACTATTGAGAAATGATGAAGTATTCGGTTTTCATACAGTTGTCATTCTTGCCTTCATCGCAAGGAATCGATTCTAATTGAAAGATCCCGCTATTTATACCCTTTGAAGTGTTGGAAGACCCTCCAAAGGCGCGCCCTTTGTCAATCAAAACTGGATTCCTTAGCAACAAAAACAAACAATGACAATGACCATGCATCAGAACCCTAGTCTTAACCACTTCAAACTAGGGAACAACGAGTAAAAGATTATGAATCACATAGGTGAAGACTAACTAACTCATTTTTTCTTTGTTTCAAGATCATCCTCGGTCCAGGCAACCCGAGGACTTATCACTATTAACAAGGCATAAAAAGTAACAAGGACTAAGATGTGTTCCTTGGATTACTGAAAAATCCTGTTCCCCTAGTGTGAAGTTGTCAGGACTAGGAATCGGTGGTAGATCTTACACCCCGTAACGTACCACTAAAAGGTGATATACCCACGTTACGGGGCAAGATTCAGTTTAGAGGCTTGATTTAGTAAAACAAAATTGGAATTCTTTCTTTCAAATAGGTGTAGAATTTTATCATTTTTTGAATAATTTCAAAATCTAGCAAGCAATTGGAAACCAAAATTACTTTCAAATCTGTATGAGCAATTGTTCTGAATTCCTACGACCGAGGTCCCAGAAGACACACAGTGACAGAACTGCCTACTCACGTTTGCTGCGGTGAAGCAAATAGGTTTCATCCTGAACAAAGCCAAAGCAGTGTCCGAGATCTTTTATTAAGAAAACTGTAAACGATAGCCCAAGTCAGTCATCTTGAAGGCCATTTATGGGCTCACCTTAAGTCTCTCGACTATTGCGTATGGTTACATGAAATTTTAAATCTTCCCGTACCGAACGGAACCTGCACTGGTGATTAAATCAAATCATCAACTTTGATCCAGATTAAAATTGATTGATTGTGTCCACATTACCAGGTTTTCAAATCCGTCTCACTTACCTATGGGCATTGCGCATTTCCCATCAGCAAACCCATAGCTGAAACGATCCCTCACCAATTCACAAGCAACAGCACTAGAAAATCCTATTTACTCAGTTAACTCTCCCATTACGTCACTCGTACGCCCCCGCATATGGGTCCGTACAATTGCTTTCCCCAGAAGCCCCGGTGAATGTGCGGTAGTTGCGTTCACCGCCGTCGCCGTTTCGCCACATATGACTATGACCTCATTCGTCAGCCATTTGCCAGTTCCGGAACACGGACTGGCCATTCACCGTACATTTTATCGTCAGCGTCGGATTAGAATCAAGGCATTCGTTTGCGGCCATCTCTGAATGTTCCGTCGACTGTTATAACTGTTTGCAAAAACAAATGCTATAAATTGAGCCGCGGGCACATTCTAGCTCATTTTCGCAACGAGAACGGTACTTTCCTCAAAATTGCCTCAATGTCACTATGAAAAGCGGGGGCATCATCGCACTCGGCTGATTTATTGTTTTTTTTTTCTCTCTCTTGGTACCGCCTTAGTAACTGCCTGCGGCCTTTGGGGCAGGATAGCAAACGACTATATAATCGTGCTCAATTATTGTGAAATATTCGTTTGAAGACCATTCTCTGGCGACGTCCCTTTGCGGACAATGGCAATTTTGAGTGAGGAAAAATGATGGCCCCGGTGGGGAGACGGAAACGACGAGTTTTCGTGAAAATGGTTCCACCCAAAGTGTGCCGAGATGCCATCAATACGTCCAAAGCAGTAACAACAAACAACGTGTTGTTAGCCAGTGGGTGGGTGGCGACGAACGCCGGTTCGTTCGGGTGCGACAGGTAGATTAATCGTCTTAGCTCTGGTTTTCGGCTTCAGCTCTCGAGGGGCATTTCTCAGCAGCCGGACGCGAGGAGGACACTTAATATGCTCGATTGTCACGCCGAGTGGCGTGATGAAAGAGATTAAATCATGTTTCGTCCGTTTCCGAATGTCTGTCTCGTGAGGCCGGGGAATTTTTGCGTTTCACTTTCGACTGGTTTGTGTTAACAGAAATTTGACGGATGTCGTTTTTTTGCAAGTGCCTTTAGAGGACATACCGGATTTGCAACCTGCCCAGGTCACCTCTGAGCAAGCGCTTTAGCTGATATCAACTTTCAATTTTATATCATAATCCCCTGCCATGGGCACTGTATTCTTAAATGGGATAGTCCCCTTGGACATTCCTAATCCAATAATCGAGTTTATCCTGTAGCACTATCCTGATGGTCTTACATTTTGGTGTCGCATGTCCCATTGCTAATCTATCCAAATGTTGAATTCCATTCCGCTGATATCCCTCGACAGCTACCCATCGGTTGGAATCCTTCCATTCCTCCCCTTTTCACGTATTGCCTTGTCCACATGGGTAGATTCATTCCAAACTCCCCCTACCCCCTACTAGTTGAAGCCACGGCTATCCATGGCGCTGTTTATTTTTTTTTGAAAAAAAAAGGATAGCGAAACAGAATCGAAAACCTTTCGGAAGTGGAACGTGTGGAATACAGATGAGGATTTGCTCTCATCAGATTGCATGCTACTACTCGGGCAGGTGGGATTATACTTGAAGGATATCCCAGAGGAAGAGTGCCTTGGAATGGGATTTTGATTGGAATTAATGAGTGATTGGTCTGTTGTACCCAAGCGAGGATTTGGATGAAATATCAATTTTATGAGTTGAACGTGAGCCTTGGAACTCGGTCGGATGCTTGCCATCATTTCGTTCTGGATGGAAATTCTTTTAATTTTTGGCAGAGCTTGACGACGTTTTAGTTTATCGATCGAAACTAATCACATCATTTTTGCTTATTACTTTTCTACTTGCAGGAGGATCTTGACAAGCAGCAGCTGGAACGTAAGTTTATATTGTGCTTTAGCTGGGAGTTTTGTCTTGGATTCATGTTTCCTGAAGCATGATGAATTATTACTCCTGGTACTGTAATCCATAATTTTATTCAATTGCCCTCCCCGGAGTCTGAGAGACGATCAGCCATAAAAGTTCTACCATCTGTTGCTGCTTCATGTCATGAAGTTTTGTTTTGCGTGAGCGAAATTATTCAATGGCGATGTAATTACCATGTTGATCTCAACGTTAGGCTTAGCTGTTACATTAGGTTTGCACAATGCACAGTGATGCAGAATGGGAATTTAGCCGGAATAGTAGTCCTAAAGCTTTTTCTGCAATATTTAGACGTTTGGTGTCTTTGGTGAAGTTTTTGTGCTTGAAAAGTCCTTTTTTTATGGTTATAAACATGTTTTTTCCTTGATTTGTTTTCGGCACAGAGTATCAAACGTGGACCCTTCCTATCAACTCATGGACCGGAAACCAACGGCTTCACTTCCGTCATGATCATAGATTTTAAACCTCAGAAAATATTAGCGGCACCCACTGGGATTGAACCTAGGCCCTTTGGGGGTAAACATTAAAGTTGCCATCAAATAAATTGGTTTCCAAGAACTTTTTTGAAAATGTGTTTATTACTCTTGAAAACAAAGACATGTAATGTTATTACGTTGTCCAAATGCTGGTCAAGAAAGGAATGGGTAGGAATATATTGACGTAATACTCAAAAATCACAAAAGTCACATCTCAAAAATGACGGTCAACTAGCATATCACTTGGAAACACTTCTACTTTACTAGACCGTCTTCATAAAAGCCATCCATGACAGTTAGATTAAATGGCAAGGAGAGAATAGCAAAATCATTCACTAACTTATCACTGATCTCAATATCCGTTTATCTTCAAAAAATTCATGTCTTAACTTGCAAATTAAAGCCACTTTCACATTTTTTTTATGTTCCATCGTCAATATCAATTCTCTACGTATATCAAATCTTTACGTACGCGTCATTGTGTATGATGTTTAATAAATCTCAAAACTGGCACAACTTACAATTGAAAAGTTCACAAGAATTGTACTGTCAAAACAAATATCTTTTCAACGTGGTTTTGTTTCGAGCGAAAAGTGAAGCGAAAAATCTTAAATTTTTGAATGCGCAACCGAACTTTTTGTTAGTGCGAACCCCAACCTGAGCTGGGTTTTAAAAGCAAACGAACGTTTTACAGAAAACAAGCAGATCCAATCTTGATACCCGATCCAGGCTGAATAATAAACGAATTCGCTATTAATTTTAGTGAAGATTTATTGAAATACAATGCGTTTCCTTACGGACTTCAAAGTAACGATTTGAAGTTTTCTTTGTTGATGGATACCAATGGCCTTTGATTGTTGAAACCTCAAGTGAAGAAAATGTTTATTTATTTATGTGCACCGTGAAATAATTCAAGACCAACAATTGCAACGGTCTCAACTCCATTTTGTAAACACACCTTGAAAAGCTATTTTGTCGCGAACCAAAGTCCGCCAACGCAAACCAACAAAATTAACAGGTAGAATTCTCTTCTTCCCGATTGTGTTTTATGTTTGAGAATGGGATTGAGGCTTTTTTATTGTTGGTCTTGAATAGTGTAAGCATTAAAGAGGGATGGGGTGAGTGGGATATATCTTATGTAAAGATGAATAAATCAAATGCAGAATGCTGTAGGATATTCATAAGGGTGGAGGAGCAATTGGTATGATTTTACAAAGTCTTACATTGGGAGAGGTCGAGTTGAAAAATCCAGAAAAACTGCTAACGTTATTGTATGACCCTTGTATTTGATGCTTGTCAACTTTTTTTGTGAAATAATACTGATTCGTGGTAAAGCAAGCACTTATTGTATTGTGTTTAACCTAAAGATATATAATGACTTGTTCAACAGTTCAACGTTTGATTACTCAGCAATAACACTTCTAGCCACAATTCCAATATTTAGAATGGGAATTCTTATTTACACAAGGATTTTTTATTGGTTACGGATCCCTTGATACTTGCGCTTCGGTAATCTGGATACGATATGGTGTCAGCATCCTTATTTTTGGAGCTCAAGCGTCACGGTAACCGGAAAAATGAATAGCTGCAAAAACTCTATCCATGAATAAGCATTCGTGACTGCAGGTAGTACGTGTTCATGCAGATATGAATTCTCACAATAATAACGCAGGATAAGACTGTTTAATTGATACATCACAGCTATCGCCTCATCCATGATTTTGGAAGAGAAATCACCCTCACCTGATTGTTAACCGTAGGAATCTCTTTTGTCAATCTAAAGGCTGTCAGTACCGTGATGCAACTCAGCACTGCCTGCGTTGTTGGATAAAAGGGTTGGGATTGCAGCAGGATTCGTTTTGGTAAACGATATGCTGAATTGAAACGATATGCTGAACAATTCAAAAGCGCAAAGGAGCTTGGGTTCGAACCCACGGTCGTCTGCTGAGTAAGCAAAATTGGTCACCTCTAGAGCACCCAGCTCCTTATATTACAAAACAATTACGATCAAGTTTCTGTTTAACTTGTTGTTCCTAGGTTTTGATCCTGGCGGTGACCTCACTGATGACGATAACAACTGTCCTAATAAAAAATACCATACCCGAACGATAATCCAAATGATAGAGCTATTCCACAAATGGTTTGGATGATACCCTGAACGTCGTTAAGCAAAATAACCATTCAAATTTTACTAGGGTGCTCTTCAGAAGGATTTGTTTTGGACTTTTAACCAACACGTACTCATTCCTCTTACCATGAATATCGGTTTATCTCATACATATTGAAATAGCGATTTACACTTTTACTTTATAATATGAGGGAGCTTGAGATTGAACCCATGATTCTTTTCTCATTAAGAAAAATTGGTCACCAAAAGGCCACCGAGCTCCTTATAACACAAAACAATTTCGATTAAATTTCCATTCAACTTGCTGTCACTAGATTTCGATCTCGACTCAAATTGAAATAAAAGAGTTATTCTATACCAGCTATTTTTTTATAGGGGCACCCTATCTTAAATCATAAAAAAAGAGTTATTCTATAACAACTATTTTGTATAGGGGCACCCTATCTTAAATCTTAAAAACTGCAAAAGAAATATAATCCTAAGCTTAACAGCTATAGTTTTATCAACATAGTTCTTAAAATTTCGTAATCAACAACCAGTCTTCCGAAAAATACGCGCACATTTGCACCCGATGTAGAAATATATCGGTTTTGTTGAACACGTACACGCTCTTCCTTGTGTTGTAATATTCATTTCAAGCATGCTGTCCAATACACACACATAAATGTTTTGTTGAAGCCACGTGTTCAAACACGATGTTTGAACACGATGTTTGTTTTCTTCGGATTGCTTTTGTTGCACGGATTACCGTGCTGGACCATTTTCTACGTTGTTCAAAATTATTGCACTCTGAAGTTTTTAGAAAGCATCAACATTTTATGTTGATCAACAGCTCTAATGCACGGAAAGTGATATTTAAAGTGGTAACATTTCATATATGTTGTTGAAAAATAAACCAAAAAAAAAGTAGAAGGGTCTGCGTCTAGGGGCACGAACGGAAGCTTGATGTAGGACCGCTAGTGGACAGAATAAATGTGAAGAGCATTTAGTTCTTTTAATTGATCAATTATATATTATCTCAACTCTTTCCGTTTTTGAATTGTAGGCGTACCAAATTTGTAGTAATTTTTTTCAAAGAAGAAGTTGATTAAGATAATCAACCATAATCACTTGCACCCCTGCTTCTAAGTTTGGTAACAAGATTACAACAGAGCATTTTGTGTGGTCGTTGGGGGCTTGTGGTTCTGAATATGGACAAACAAGCACAGATAAATTCTATTCCAACTCTTTACTGATGTAAGCTTGATGGCCCTGAAAAGGGCTTTTATTGAAGAGGACATCGATGGCCACTTACACTTGGCGTGTTTAGTGTAGGTGACTGCATCACGGACCTCATTTTCCAGGAACACCTTCAGCACACCTCGTAGATCAGACCGGAGATACGTTTGACACCACCACGGCGAGCCAGACGACCGATGGCGGTTATCTCGAAGAACTTTGCGATGACGCTTGGCGCCTCCTTTACCAGACCTTTTCCTCCTTTGCCACACCCAGTCACAGTCAATTGTTGCTTGTTAGGTGTGAAGGAGTGGACTAGCCAACACTTTCTTACTGCTGCTATTGCTGTTCACGACGCCGTCCGAAGCGAAAATGAGCTAATGCCATACAGCAGCATTCTTTTATATCTTTTCAGGTAAAAGCAGAATGATGTGCAACCAAGTGGTATAAAAGCTACAAAGACTCCTCCCATTATGAGTAGTTTGCTATCAAGTAGCGACACTGGCTCTTTTCCTTTTGCGTACACGGCGAATGATAACGATCCAAGTTTGAGTTTAGTTCACTCATAATCGCCAAAAGTGCAGGAACTCAGCGATGAGTAAATTTGTCTCATGGTTTCCTGTGGAAAACCTAAAAATCTGCCAGAAAATGAGGAAATCGACGAAAATTTTATTCAGTCTCGGAGTAGTAGCAATAGACTGAGTGAATCCAACTTTTACTTTTCTCAAATTCGGGAATTTTTCCCTGGAAAATCCTGGGAAAACATGAAGCAAATTCACTCATCGCGGTCTTCCTGCACTTTATTTCTTATTTCTGAGATAACAAAGCTCAAATTTGGGTCGATCTCATTTGCCATGATATCACCTTGAAAGATATCGGCACCGGTGGTTAGCGTGATTACCTCTCACCCCAGCAGGCCTGGGTCCAATCTCAGTCGGCGCCACCGGCATGTTCTAAGGCATAACATCTCTGATCACGCCTTCCTTCGGGAAGTAAAGCCGTTGGTCCCCGGTTGAGTTGATGGGTCGATTGGTAGGGTCCAGGTGTGGGAGCTGTCTCCCTGGCGTCGGTAGCATTGGAGCTCAGTATGGAAAACAAATCTCGCGTCACTTTTCAATAGGTCCCATCTACAT